ACGTATAATGCTGAGATTTCAAGACGCTTCCACATACATTATCTCATTTTATTCATACACAACTCTGTGAGAGATCAAATGAGGAGTCCACTTTAAAGGCAAAGCCACTATGGAAGGTCAACAGAAAAGTGACAAAGCCAGGACACGAAACCTGGATCTTCTGCCTCCTGGTTCTGAACACTTTCCAATACATCCAAATTTTTAAAAATATTATTATTGGCTCTATCACTGTTCAGTGTACTTGTTAGACACACAAGGAAGAAAAGGAAGCAAAGAGAGAGGAAGGGGGCTGGGGAGAGGAGAACACCTTAGAATTTTCCAACTAGTCCACACTTTGCTATGATTGCTGTTTATGCTTCTCTGTGCTTGCTGCACTAATGATGGCTGGAGTTGCTTGTCCCTGTGTAAACTGTAGCTACACAGCCAGTATATGACCCTAAGTCCCAGCCTTGGTACAGGCTGTTCTTTGGTTAGTTAGTACCAAGTGACTGGTGTAGCAGTTGTACTGTTTTATGTGAAAATCTGTGTTTCCTCAGAAATAGCCATTTGACCTCTGATTAACAAATTATTTGATTTGTTATAGCTTGATTTCAAATAGATTGATGTTATCATCAGCTTCAAGGCAAATTTTGTTAACAAACAAGATTTGATATATTTCTTGGTTTTTCTTGGGAAATTAGTCCCAGATCTCCTGTGGCCTACCTCTCAGCAGTGGTCCAGTTAGGCTGCTTACTTTTATTTTTAACTCATTTTCTAGCAAAGCCAACTCAAGAATGAAAATGTCATTGCCAGGTTCATGGCTTACAACTATGGCTTGGTTAGATGCTTATTAATCACTGCTCTGCGTATCTTTCATTTGATCTAGAACCTGATTCCAGTCATCAGCAACTCTCCCAAGAAAGAAATGGCTGGATACGTAGTTCCATAAAGGAAGGCTAAGGAAAAAGTTATTTACTTCGATCATTTATGAAAAGTATGTAGTACTTTTATTGATAAGGACTTGTATGGCTCCTTTGGAAAACCCTACCTATGTTCTACTTTATTACTGAAGAGATATGATATAAATTTACACATCTCATGAGCTTACCCTGTATTTGTAATGCATTTTGAAGTGCTTCTATGAAAATATTGACTAGGCTATAGAAGTATGGATTATTTTGTGAATTATAAAACATGAGTAAAAATCTCCAAAACACTTATTTCTCATATATATAAAAATGAGAATGTTAAAAAAGTTAAATATCACATATTTATGAGTAAAAGCTAAATATTAATTAATACCAAGTAATTATTAGTAAACATGGAAAATATAAAAAATGTTTAAGGCAGTCTTGACTCTTATTGAGTTTATAATCTGTAAGGGGAAAACAGAGAAGCATACAAAAATTAAATAACAATATAAGAGCTGTCAAGGGCAACCTATTGCTAATCGACACAGGAAGTGCAATTAGTCGGTAACTACCATAGGTCAGGGGAAGGGGAGAGTTCCAGAAGCAGTGGGCTTATGACTGCAAGAGAAATAAGACCTCAGTCAGATTTCTAAGGCTAAATCTAAGGAGACAGAGAGGATTCTCAGTGAAAGGAACACATACAATGAAGAAGAGAGTTCAGATCCAAAAAGGAAAAAGAAAACCACACTTCAAGCTTTGGTGGGATGCATGAAGAAAGAGCAGGAGACAGTGCTGGAAAGGCTGTAGGAACTGGACTGAGGAGGCCTTGGGATGTCAAGTTGAGGAGTGAAGGTTCTGAAGCAAAGAGGACCGTGGTCACAGAGGCATGTTAGACATATTGATTTGATTTCAGTATGGTAGATTAAATGGAGCAGAGAGGAGTAGGGGCAGGGAGATGAAATAGAACCCAAGTCAAGACCTGGTGTGGGGTGAGGGTGACGGGATAGGAAGGGAAGGGCTGGGCGCAGGAAGTCTGAGGAAGGAACACACTACCTCTCAAGTGCACAGGTTGACACTTATTGTCAGAGCTTTCTGTTATAATCTAAAATATTATCAAACCCATAATTTCCTAAGAATAGATTTACTTGCAGAGTAGCAATGGGCGAATAAGGAAATGAAGGAATTTAACACATCTTGAACTTTCAACTGATAAATACCTGAATAAATTAGTCTGTCTGAATATGGCTTGTCACCACCCAAACTCATGTTGAGATGAAACTGTCAATGTAATGGTTATTGAGAGTAGGCAGTGTCTTTAAGAGGTGGGTGGGGTCACGGAGGCTCTGTTTGATTAATGAAAGGATTAATACAGTTACCATGAGAGCAGGTTAGTTATCGTGAGAATGGATTGTCCTTCACACACTCTCTTTTCGGCACAAGCATCTGCCATGTTATGACACCTCATGAGGTCCTCATCAGATGTGGCAGGCTGATCTTGGACATCTTGACCTTCAGAACAGTGAGCCAAAATAAACTTCTCCCTGCATTACCTAGGTTCCAGTATTCTGTTATGGCAACAGAAAACAGACTGAGGCAGTTGACATGTTGAACCTTTTTTCTTGATCTTGAATCCTTATCTAAATATAAGAAGTGTTAGCTAAAAAATGTAAAACAAATAAATAATAAGGTCCCATGAAGTGTAGGAACTAAAGAAAAACTGAGAACATTTTATTTTACCAGAGAGTTAACTCCAGTGGAAGATTCCAAGCCTCTTCTTGTCTTGTTTGTTTGTTTGTTTTGGTGGGGGGCAGGGGGTCTAAGACAACTGAAGGAAAGCTCCAAGAATTTTCCGGATCCCTTTCTGCCCATGGACTTAGGTTGGTGCTCCTGTTAGAAAAATCTTCTCATTTTGAATGTTTACAATATAATGTACTTACTCCACAGAAAGTCAGAGAAACTTGATAAATCTCTGAATGAGCAGGAGAATTTTCCCAACAATGCCAGCATCCTGGCTCCACTGCCTGCTGTGCTCATCATGATATGGTAGAATTATTGGCATCCTGATCCTCTACAACCAAGCCCTGGCCTGGCCTTATCACTCCCAGAAATGCAATGCCTACAGGGGCACTTAAGATCAGCACACTCCATTCCAGTAGCACCACTTGACAGAAAGATGGCGCCGGACAGAGAGCCTCGCCCCCACATTCCCTACACCCTGCAGCTCTCAGAACCCCTTTCCTGGGCAGCTTCCATTTCTATTCTTTCCAATGCTCCCACTATTTTATGGCTGCTCCTTGACCCTACCCATAACCCCAAAGAAGCCTGAAGGGAGAATGGAGAAAGGAAAGGGAGACCAAGCCTGCCAGAGATTGGGGTGACTGTGGGTACAGTCTTCTTCCCTCTCTAGCTCCTGTTTCCTGGCTCCCCCTCTTCACCCTCCCCAAGTTGGCAGAACTAGGCTGGTAAGTCCAGGGCAGGGGTGAATAAACAAATAAATCATTCCCCAGTTGTAACACTCGAATGGTCAAGTTTAAGCCTAAAGCAAGTTCATATGTTTGGATTGATGTAAGAGAAGGTGGCTAAAACTGCTTGGTTTTATAAACTTAGTAAGCATTACTTTTGGCTCTCGGCCTAGCCAGCTATAGAAGTCAGTCCCTGCAAGGTGAGAATGAGTTCGGTCCCCATGTTGATGTTCCTTCCAGATGCTATTCTTTTTATTCCCATACAAAAAAAGATGTGTGAGCATTATATAACACTATCTTGCACCTTTATACTGTACTGACAGCTAGAAAGCTATTTACTTCTCAAAGACTTAATTGCAGATTATTTTCAGGCCTGAACCGAAGATATTACCAGGGCCATTTTGGAGGGAGGCTTGCAGTCCTCATGGCTGTTCTGTCCTCCCATCACCTCGGTATGCCACCTATAGCTAGGCTGACCGTGCACTCATTTCAAACCAATTCATCTGCCAACTTTAGAAAAAAAAAGCACTGATATAACTTTAAATGCTTTCAGATTTAGTCCCCTGTGTATTTATATTTTTTCCCCTCTCATCCCTTCAAAGCTAATCCCAGAATTTTGAGAATTTGGGAACCTGAGCAATGCAGAAACAACCACACAGGCCCAAGAAATTTGAAATCTCAGTTACATTATGTCAACCAAAACTGATAGTACTTTTTGTATGTATTAACCCAGCTCACATTACAAAATCATATGAATAATAAAACACAAAGTACAGGTGTTAGTGCCGAATAAGTAAAGTCTAAAATGTCATCAAAATTTGTTCGGTTATTTACTCCGGACGCTAACTTGGAACACACCCTTGCGCCATACGCACACTAGCTGAGGCTGGGGCGTGTGTGTGTGTGTGTGTGTGTGTGTGTGTTTCCCAGTGGTTCTCGGCGTTAGCTGTTGCACGCGTAAGCCTTCTCTTTCTGTGTCTACCGCACTTGAAGTACAATACAGCCCCTTGCAAGAACAGCGGGTGTTGCCCCTGACAGAAGTTCGGTTTGCTCCAGCAACCTGCTCCGCTGGAAAGTTTCCTCTTAACCACCAACGCCCGCCTCCGATTCCACAAGCTGTCAGGGCTCGGGCTGGGGAAGTGCGTTACACACACCCTGCTAGGTCGCCCGCTCTGAGACCCAGTCTGGCAGTGGAACTCCCCCAACCCCAGCGAACGGACGCTTCAGAACTCCGAGGCCCCCTGGGCGCTAAAGGGAGCAGGATCTCCGCGCTGCAGGGAAGCGGGCACTTGGACGCAGAGGGGCGCAGGGAGCTGGCGGAGCCCTGCAGGGAGGTAAAGGGGCGCGGGGAAACGCGGAAGGCAGGCGCGAGTAGGGGCCGCGGGAGGGAGCGGGGCGCAGCAGGGGGCGTGGGGAAGAGGGCCTGGAACTGGCCGGCGCAGGAAGGGACACCCTCGCGGCAACCGGCGGGCGCCGGGGCAGCGCCGGCTGCGCGCTCCTCCCGGGGACTCTCCCCCGTCGCTCCGTTGAGGGTGGGAGGGGTGCGGACGGCTGGGGGCCCGGGGCGGGGCGTGCCTGTGCAGCCATTGGCTGCGGGAGCCTGACGCGAGGCCCCGGGGGTTGGCTTGGGGAGTGGGGGGAGCGAGGTGGGGTGGGTGTTGGGTGCCGGAGCTGCGGGGCCCGCGCGCTCAGAAACATGCTGAGGTCCCGGCGGCTCTTCCAGCAGCGGCAGCGGCTCCAACAACAGCGGCGGCGTCGGCGGCGGCGACAGCGCTCGGCTCCGGCAGGGAAGGCGCTCGGCGCCCATGCCTCCGGCCCCGCGCCGCGGCAGCCCTGACCCGACCGCGACCTCCCCGCGCGCGCCCCGCCACCCCGACTCCTGGGGTGTTCCCCAGCCACGGCCCAGGCCCGCCACACCCCCCGCCCCCGGCCTCCGCAGCTAGGCATGGGCGCGGGGGCGCTCGCCCTGGGCGTCTCCGAGCCCTTCAACCTGTCGTCCACCGCGCCGCTCCCCGACGGCGCGGCCACTGCGGCTCGGCTGCTGGTGCCCGCGTCGCCGCCCGCCTCCCTGCTGCCCCCGACCAGCGAGGGCTCCGAACCGCTGTCTCCACAGTGGACGGCCGGCATGGGCCTGCTGATGGCCCTCATCGTGCTGCTCATCGTGGCGGGAAACGTGCTGGTGATCGTGGCCATCGCCAAGACTCCGCGGCTGCAGACGCTCACCAACCTCTTCATCATGTCCCTGGCCAGCGCTGACCTGGTCATGGGGCTCCTCGTGGTGCCTTTCGGGGCCACCATAGTGGTGTGGGGCCGCTGGGAGTACGGCTCCTTTTTCTGCGAGCTCTGGACCTCGGTGGATGTGCTGTGTGTGACGGCCAGCATTGAGACCCTGTGTGTCATCGCCCTGGACCGCTACCTCGCCATCACCTCGCCCTTCCGCTACCAGACCCTGCTGACGCGCACGCGGGCAAGGGTCCTCGTGTGCACCGTGTGGGCCATCTCGGCCCTGGTGTCCTTCCTGCCCATCCTCATGCACTGGTGGCGGGCCGAGGGCGACGAGGCGCGCCGCTGCTACAACGACCCCAAGTGCTGCGATTTCGTCACCAACCGGGCCTATGCTATCGCCTCGTCCGTCGTCTCTTTCTACGTGCCCCTGTGCATCATGGCCTTCGTGTACCTGCGGGTGTTCCGCGAGGCCCAGAAGCAAGTGAAGAAGATCGACAGCTGCGAGCGCCGCTTCCTCAGCGGCCCGGGGCGGCCGCCCTCGCCCGCGCCCGCGCCCGCGCCCGGGTCCCCGCGCCCCGCCGCCGACCCCCTGGCCAACGGGCGCGCCAGCAAGCGGCGGCCCTCGCGCCTCGTGGCCCTGCGCGAGCAGAAGGCGCTGAAGACGCTGGGCATCATCATGGGCGTGTTCACGCTCTGCTGGCTGCCCTTCTTCCTGGCCAACGTGGTGAAGGCCTTCCACCGCGACCTGGTGCCCGACCGCCTCTTCGTCTTCTTCAACTGGCTGGGCTACGCCAACTCAGCCTTCAACCCCATCATCTACTGCCGCAGCCCCGACTTCCGCAAGGCCTTCCAGCGCCTGCTCTGCTGCGCGCGCCGCCGGGGGGCCCGCAGGCGCCACACGGCCCAGGGCGACCGCCCGCGCGCCTCGGGCTGCCTGGCGCGCGCCGGGCCTCCGCCGTCGCCCGGGGCCGCCTCGGACGACGACGACGACGACGTCGGGGCCGCGCTGCCCGCGCGCCTGCTGGAGCCCTGGGCCGGCTGCAACGGCGGGGCGGCCGCGGCGGACAGCGACTCGAGCCTGGACGAGCCGGGCCGCGCGAGCTTCGCCTCGGAGTCCAAGGTGTAGGGGACCCCGTTCGGGGCGCGGGTGCCGGGCGCCCCCTGTCCCGCCGCCCCAGCCTGGCTGCGGACTCTGCGCCCCACGGGGCGCCCCTGAATGGCTTCCCAGGGGAAAGAGGAGACCTCTGTTTACTCCAGACCCAAAGCAGGTGAACTCGAAGCCCGCAGACCTGGTCTGAATCAACCAAGACAAACAGAAAAGCCGCGGACCGTTGCACAAAAAGGAAAGTTTGAGGAGGGGTTACTGATTTTTCCTGGGTTCTTTTCTGTTTGTGGTTCGGCCCCTATTTTTGTGTGTGTGCGTGTGATGCATCTTTAGATTTTTTCCCCAGGTGGGTCTTGACAGTCTGCGAGGACCCGAGTAGAAACTGGGTGGGTGGGGAAAGGGAGATGAAAGCCTTTACCAGTTTGGCTTCCATCCTATTCCCCGGAACAGGAGCGGTCAAACGGGAGGGTGGGGGGCGGGGTGGCAGTTTATCAGGACTTGCTTCTTTTTGCTTTCCACAGAAATTGCATTTTAGTTCCTGAGTAATGATTTCTCCTGTTCTTAAAGCCAAGGGAAAGGTCGGATGCAAAACACTCGAGTTTTAAGAAATTTTAAGCTATTCTTAGAACAAGCTTCACCTTGCTTTCCTTCTGTAGGGCAAACCCCTGCCCCTGCGCGCCTCGGTGGTCCTGCTGAGGGTTTTCTACCTCACCCTGTGCATATTGCACAGCAAGACAGAAAGACTTGTTTATATTAAACAGCTTATTTATGTATCAATATTAGTTGGAAGGACCAGGCGCTGAGCCTCTCTCTGTGACATGTGACTCTGTCATTTGAAGACAGGACAGGGAAAAAAAAAGGAAACAGTTCAGATTACTGCACATGTGCGTATAAACAAAAACAAAACACACTAAACAGGAGTGGTTCCACATGCCATTTTTGCACAGTGTTAGGAATTGTAAAGTCCACAGATGTTACTTGCACAAAAGAAATTAAATATTTTTAAAGGGGTAGGAAGGGGGGAGATCTTAAAAACTAAAATAAAATTCAAACTCAGCTTCTGTTGTCTATTATGTTATTGAGCTAATGATTTATTGGGAAAATACCTTTTTATACTCTTATCATGGTACTGTAACTATCCATATTATAAGTATAATTATCTTATGGATTTTTTATTATTTTTTTATGTCCAAGTGCCCATGTGAATCTGCTGGTAAAGCTTAGCACTTGTGTGTAAATTCTATTTCCTCTTGTATGTTTTACCAAGTATTTTTACTCTGGTGCAACTAACTACTGTGTGAGGAATTGGTCCATGTGCAATAAATACCAATGAAGCACAATCAAGATTACGTACCCTTGTGTCTGTAAAGTGTCAGTGAAAATGAAAAAGACAGTTTGGCTTTTCATTAGACTGCATTTCTCCTAGAGCTCTTTTAATAGCTTTTCATGACTCAGTAACTTAGCAAAATGCCTCTAGACCAAATACGATGTTCACCTACAGAGAGCTGCAGATTTGCCCTAAATTTTCACAGCCGGATTCAAGGTATTCCAGACTACTTGTAGGCGCTTTTCAAGATTCCATCTGCTGCACTTGACTTATGAAGTGACATTTGGGAAATGTGTCTACTGGGGGCGAAAAGCCTCGGAGCCAGGTAACTCAGCTGCAGTGTTGCTCAGAAACACAGGAAGGAAGACAAACTCATTGAACAGTCGGCCAACTGAAATTCGGTAAGTGGCTTCCACAGCTTATTTTTGTTTTCCAATCGAAAATCACAGCCTACAGATGATCCATATGTGCAGATTCTGTGGTGGTTGTTTATAGTGAAAGAAACTTCTGTGTCTGAGCAAACATTTATCAAAGGGCTTCTGAAGTAAATATTTCTCTTGTGAAATTCAGTAGCTCATTTCAGCAGAAATTTTGGGCAAACAGGTCAAGGTAAAAAAGCAAATGTGAAATCATTTTATTTCCTAATAGAATTACAACACAAAATGAACAGAGTGTTTTCATACAGTTAGTTCCTAAGGAAAGTATAGTGAAATTCTAGCCTGAAGTTGATTGTACATTCTCCAAAATAAGATGACATAATGTTTATATTCTTAAGCTTTTCATTTTGTAATCATACAGTAAAAATATCAAATGAAGAGTATAAAGTTTGTGCTCAACCTGGCCTTTAGCAGGAATAGACAGTTCTCTTCTAGGGAGTCAGAACAGATCCTGCCTTTTGACAGCGGCGTATCCTGAAGCCCAGGGGCCAGTCTTCTGAGAAAGGTTAATGTCCTCTGTGGTGTAGAGTCCAGCAAGGGATGACAGCAACACCAGCACTTCCAACAAAGGCTGTCCCCCCCTGGAGTTCAACCCCTTTCTGGGCAAAAAGAGGAAACAGGTGGGGGGGGCAAGATTACAAAGATTAAAAACAAAGATAAATACTTAAACTTATTTTGGAGAATGTGAAGAATCAGTCTCAGGATGAAATGTTACAATGATCTTCCTTGACCTAAAACCCGTTTCTAATCTTGTTCCCCCGTTTGTATGTAACATGCATTTTGTTGTGAGTTTTACCCCGTCTTTATTTTAAACTAATAGGTAATGTCTTTAGTTTTATCTGAAGAGCACTAGACTACCACGTTATTGCTTCTCTTTCTGGTTTATTGATTATTTTACCTACTCTGTTTAGATAAGTCTTCACATTTAAATAAAAAGAACTATTCTCATCTAAAAACATATGTACAGGTCCACCAAACTTCAGGTCTTAAAATCATGAAGATCCTTATAACTATTAGAACAAATGTGTATAATTTAACTACTTAGTAGATAGGTTTAGTTTCTTTAGTGAATTAGAGGAAATCACTATAATCTTGGAATCTGTATATATGTATTGGTAGGAAACAGAAAAAGATTTTTGTGTGATCTTCTGTATTCTGCAACTGGGGATTACAAAGATTCAGGAGCAGACCATGTCCCTGATTCCAAATAGCCATGAAAACGACTCTTTCTTATTTTTTGAGCAAGATAGCCATTGACTTGTAATGGGAAATGTGGAAGCTAGTCTCCAGTGTCAAAAACTATGGCAGTGGAAGGAGGAAATTGCCAGTCCTGGGTAGCCTGGCAAAATAGTAAACCACAGAAATGGCAGGAGGAGGGCAATGAGCATCAGAGTCACCCTTACCTGGGGGTTTGTGTGTATCAAAGAACCAAAGGCATAAAACTTAAAACCAAAGCAGTGAACTAAGATGTAATAAAGATTCATTGACTTGCTATTCATCAGAAATCAGATTGAGCACTGTAAAGTCCTCTAATGTGAAACAATCAAAAATTTCCAGGATATATAAATTCTCCCTTCCATGTAGAAGTGTGAAGTTGGTATAGCATAATAGCTTGGTCTCTTGGTGAGCTTGTCAGTATAAAACTTTGCAATAGAGTTTATTGTTTGGTCTGTGCTTTCTTTGGAACTGGAATTAATAACTTCTGTGAGGCAATTGTGAAACCTTTCCTTGTTAAGCACATTTTCCTAGCATATTTTAACTTCACATTTTTTTTGCATTTGCTTTCTCTGACAATATGTAAAATTTCCTGGCAGAAATTCTGCACCCAAAGTATCTGTGTAATATTAACATTTAAGTTTTTAATAAGAGCTTCTAAGGAAAGGTCTAAAGGAAAATTATTCTATAACTTTTGCTGCTAGTTGTAAAAGACTTATTTTCTTTTACATGTCTTTAACAAAGCTGAGCCCGTTCATTCTTTTGAAGGGAAAAAATTAAAACCTTAGCAGCAACTTAAACACATTGGCACAGATAATGTAGTTTTATTTGTACATGTCTGGCATAATGTGCTGAGAAATACTAATTCTTTTGACTCTCTGCCAATTTTCTACTAATCAAAATGGAGAAGATATGCACTGTTTGGATTACACCTAAAAATAGTTCTGCTACAGTCACATCAGCAAATGGAATTAAATTAATTTCTCTTTCTTCCCCTTCACATACACCCTCCATGTTATTTGAATTTCCATCTAGAATATTGCTCCTGAATCTCATGATTTTAGATTCAATGTGTCCCAAGTAGCATTGCTACATTTTAGTGATCGTGACTCAAACTCCATTTAACCACTTTCTAAGGCATCCCCCTCCCCTGAAATATCTACATTCATTCTCCATTTATTTAAAGACTCTACCAGAAGCTCCTTATGATGTAATCATAGAAGTATTATTACTATAAATAGATGCTTTGTGGATTAATTCACCACATCAGTGGTCTTTTTTCCTTTTGTGGGAGGAGGGAGAGAGAGTTTCTGAATCTATCAGATTCAGTCATTTAATCAGGGAGTAGATAAGAGGTTTCCAAATCCAATTGCTTTAATGACAGACGGGGAAAAAAATAGTAGCCTTGAGACACTCAGGCTAGACTGATCATTACAGCATGGTCTTTGCAGTAATGTTAGCAACACCCAAGAAATCACTGGAAGTAACTGCCTTAAAACCTTTATCTTCCCTTAGATGCTGGACAAAGATCACATTTCCACCTTCTGTATCTGAAGCTAGTTCTTGTCTGGGACCTACCAGATTTTCTGGCCTCCTTTTTGAGCATTTCTTCAGTTCTTCTTGAATAATCTTGAAACATCTAGAACATCTAGTTTTAGATATTATCTTAATAATAACACTTAATTTCTCATGAATGGCTTCCTAAAGTTCTGATTTTCAACGTATTTTAGCACATGCAATTTTTTCCTCTCTTCTCCACATTCCCATGCCCATAGCTCTTAACTGGTAGTAGCAAGGTCACATTTCATTCTTCCTATTTATGACACAAAGTTTATACCTCTGATGAATTTTAAATGTCAAGTGTGGATTTCTGCCTGAGCATTTTTGTATCGCTCATAATTATGTGGCAATTCTGAGGAGAAAAATATTGAAGTTAATTGTTGGTACTTTTCTTATAAAAGTTCTTCATGATAGGTTTAAGATTTGGGGCATGGCACTTCCTTAATAGAAAGTCTTATTTTTTCTGGCACTGTCTCTTAACTATATGACCCTGCCAGTCTGTCCATATCCCAGTCTCGGAGTGTAATGTTAGTTGTTCCTCCTTCAGCTATTTGCAAATTAGTTTTACTAGTTATTATTAGACTAGCTCACTTGTGAGAATTGTGTGTACCTTTGAGAGAACAGAAAACTTTTTCAAGCAGATGGCCAACTTTGGACACTCTGGCTCCTTCTCCAACGGTAGTTCCCGCTGTGCCTGGTGACCTTGGGAAACTGATTCTGCTTCCTTGTGATTCAGGTTTACTTCCCACAAAGCCTGATCAGTAGCCTTTGCTTGTGAATCCCTTTGAGATTCTCTCATAGAAGGAGTTCTTTGCTTTGCGATGTCTGTCATTTCAGTACTTCCTCCTGACCTTCTTTTCCCTTTCCTAGCAGCTCCACCTACAAAAATCCCTCAGTATTTTTAAAGTGAAAAAGAACAAATACGAATTGCAAGAATATATAATACCCCATGCATCCAAACAAATGCTCCTTCATATTTTTTATTGCACTTAAAATTCCACAGAAACCACAACTGAATAAAATAATCTTCTTTCCAAACAGGAGATTAAAAAACCTGTTTGCTATGTACTTTGCAAAAGAGGTGGTTTAATGATTCTCAGCCCACAGCCACTTTAAGAAAAGTAAGGCAATTTGAAAAGTTCCCCAACTCTACAATTTTTGCATTGAGTTGTAAAAACTAATAGCAACTATCTACGTTGTTCTCTTTTTCTTGAAATAGCAATTCAGAGATGAAAAGTGCTGAAAGCCATAGGGAGTTTGTATTTTTGCTTACTTTTCTTTTATAGCTTGCAGGGTATAGGGTTTCTTTGTTCCCAATTTCATAAATGGTGACAAATCTACAGAAACCTTATTGACTTAAAATATCTGTTATGTGAGGTACAGGAACTCACCTGTAATCTTGAGGTCCTTGTTAAAAATGCTTTTAAAGAATAAACATTAATAGATGTTCCAATAACATTTTCTGCACTCTGAGGACTTTTTAAAGCCTTTGTAGGCAGTATTTTAGCAAGATGTTCTTTTTAAGGAACTCATTGTGCATAAATGATTTTGTGATCAATCAAGATAATACATTTTCCCCCCTTTTTCTTAAAATAGACACACCTAAGTAAAACTGAGTCCCACAAAAGAATTCCAGATACTTAGATCCATGCAGACCCCCAAGACTGACAAGATTTAAAGACTTGCTCTCCCTTTTAGTAGCTCACCCTGTCAACAGATGTTTCCTTTCAAACAAACCCAAATCCTTCATGGAGGTTTTTTGGGGGGGGTACCAGGAATCGAACTTAGGTCCTTGTACTTGCCAGGCAGGCGCGTTGCAACTGAGCTAAATCCCCAGCCCTCCTCATGGAGTTTTGATTCATGGTTGATCTCAGGGGCATCTGAAAACTGATGACTGAGCCGCTATTCTGTTTTAAAATCCTGCTGATGAGATACGTGAAACATACACACACACACACACACACACACACACACACACGCTTTATAGGCACTAATTAATTCAATTTGTCCTTATAAACAGCTTCAAATCCTTTAATTCTTTCTGTTGTTCAATTAAGAGTAATCTCCAGTTACAGAGATTCCTTCTTGCTAGAGACCGAAATAAACACATGTACAAAATGTTAAGCTCAGCACCTGGTCCAGTGGCATTAACATGTCATCATCCCAGAACTATGCTGGTAATTTTTGTTAGTATCACCAAAGCCACAAAACTCTGAAGACTAGGAAAAGTATTGTATGAAGTAAAAATTGTAAGATAGAAACTAATCAGTCTTCACAGTACCATAAAAAGCATCCTGCAAGCACAGGACAAAACAGGCAATATAAGTTTTTCTCAAATCAGGCAACCAATATAACCTCTTGACCAAAAGGCACATGTGAACAGTACTCCTCAAATCAACCTGACACTCAGCCTGTCCCCAAGGCAGCCACTCTGACTGGGGAAACTAGACATCCACCTTGTGAGATGTGACAAGACAGAGGCAGGTGTGGTTGCGCGCCAGACATATGGGCTGGACGTAAGGACTCTAAACCAGTGCTGTCCAACAGCAACGGAATGCAAGCTATGTATTTGCTTTTATATTTTCTAGTAGTCTCTTTTTTAAGAACAAGTAAAAACAAAGATGAAATTAATGTTTCTATATGTAATTGATATAAAACATTAATGAAATGCTTCATTTTATACACAGCATTATATATATATGAAATTTTGGAAATCTGCTGTGTATCTTACAGCCCATTTCAGTTGCCACGAGCCACATTTCAAGGGCTGAGTAGCAGAAGAAGGAGCCGATGATAAGCTGACATAATCTAGAGGCTTGATAACCTTGCGTGATAACAGTGACATGAAAAGCCAGTCCACAGGAAGTTACAAGGGGAATAAAACTGCATAAACAAAAGCACAGAAGTCTGGGTGTAGAGATGAATAGTCATGATGAGTAGCCCCTTGCAGATATTTCCTACCGTTGGAGTAATTAGAAATGAAACTAGAAAGGTGGTCTTAGAACAGACCAGAAGGGTTATGCAAACATGCGGGACTCTAACCTTCTGGAAAGTGTAGAGATTTATGACAAGTCGGTCAGGGTTAAAACAGTGCTTTGGAAAGATTATCCTCCCATCATAAGGTATGATTGGTGGATATAGCATCTCACTAAATCTTCAAAAATATTTGTGAGTAAATTCAGTAATCTCATGCAAATCAAAAAACTAATAGTTGTGTAATCTTATATATGAACTCATTATTAAATTGGCTTTCTGATTTTTATTATATCAGTTGCAGGAGCTGACCTAGAAAAATGCACCCTTACCAAGCAGATTTCTAAGTGCATAAGGCCAAGGGTCATGCCCCCTGTGGAGGTAAGACATTTGAGCTCAGTTTGTTCAAGGCAACAAATAAGCAGAGATCAAGACTAGGTGGCAGACTCCTAAATTAGTCTTATTTATGTCACCAAACTATTCATCTTTTTTGTCCCTCACTGGACTAGAAGTTCCTTTAGTATAAAGGCTTTGTCTTTTTTTTTTTTCCTTTGACCTCCCTAGGCTTATGTATACTCTGAATATTCATTGAATTATACTAGAGTCAGAGAAACTAGATTTTTAGCTACAGCAATAATCTAGGTACGTAGTGGCAACAGGCCTTTATTAGTTAGCTTTGCATCAAATACTTCAAATACTTTTGTAATAAATACTTCAACGAATCAACTTATAAAGAGACGCTTTGATTTTTGGCTCACAGCTTTAGAAGGTCCAGTTCATGACCCGTTGGCCCTGTTGCTTTTGAGCCTGGAGAGAGGTAGCCCATCCTGCTGGGAAGCACAGAGCAGAGCAAAGCTGTTTGCCTTGTGATCAGGAAGGGAAAGAAAAAGATGAAGAAATGGGCTTCCATACCCCCGTCAAGGGCACAAGCCCCCCATACACCTGTGTCTCTCCCACTAGGCCCTCCCCACAGTGCCTAACAAGCTCCTAACAACTGTGCCTTTGGGAGCCACTCTAGATCCAAACACCACAAAAGCCTAACTGTACTGAAAGATGTGACACAACGCTGTTTCCTTTGTGAATCCAGGGTTTCACTACCCAACAACAGTTTCTCCAAGAAAGGTGCGAATCTTCTAATTGCAGTAAACATGGTACAGCTTCTGCTAGTGTCACGGGAAATGTTGAGGTTGTTATCCAAATATTTCTAAGAAAAAAAGTTTATTTCTAGAAATGGCACTACTGGAATTCGGTACCTAAGCAACCTAAATTCAGTGAGTATGAAGGTAGTATATGCTTCATGCTCATCCCTTTTCTTGAAAAATAGTCATCTCACCAGCTCTGTTAAATAAGAACTGCATATTCTAGGTTCTAGGCCACTTATCAATGTAAGAAATACCTGATTTATTTGTCATTTACTGTATTTATCCTACGTGGGCTTTTTTCCTTTTGAACAAAGAGATCCAGAGCTGTTTTTCTCCCTGGATACTACAGGGGGGAAAGCCCTTGTCACTGGCCCAAGTGTTCTCCCTGGAACCCGAAAGTCAACATGCCTAAGAGAATCAGATCACCGTTCACTGAGGTATAGGTTTCTGTTTTAGATTTTATTTTTGCAGTCTGTACTACAAGAAATTTTAATGTGTCCATTAACATTGTAATGGGAGCAAACACATGATGACCCTCTCAAAGTTTGCACATCCCTTTCAGGTCTTTTTCACTTAAAACAGATTCCTAAGCATTATCTTCATTATCTTCCCTTCTCAATGAGAGAGAGAGAGAGAGAGAAATCTATAGCTATTCCAAGAGAAAATTTATTGCCCAAATTCCGTTGGACAAAGCATTAAGACTTACCTGTTACTCTTTTCTCTGTATATTGCTATATATTGTATGTATACATATTCTCAGTAAAGCAGAGTACATTTTTTTAAGTAACATTATATTTGTATTAGCTTCCTGGGATTGTTTGTGAGACACTTTGCATGGAGCTTGGGGCTGGGAAGCTGAGAGCAGGGCCCCTGACTAGGGGGCGCTCCATGGGGGCGGAGGAAAGGCCTCTGGACACTTCCAAACCTATTTGGTATGGATGCATTTCTCTGCATCAGTTCCCGAGTTTGAGATACAAAATCAGAAAGCCACTTTAATAATTCACAGTGTAGCTGTCACATGGCCTGTGGCATACACTTGAGGATGATTAGACATTCTCTCTCTACATCCAGGGAAGACAATTATAACAAAAAGGTTCTTACCAAGCACCGGATCAGAACAAAGAGCTGGTAGCATAGATTTACCAATGCACCCTTCTGCACTGTGGCTTGGAATATTGGAAGTCCTCGGGCTTTGAGACCAACCTGCCTTTCTCCCCTAAATAAGGCTTGGATGAGCAGGGCCAACCTCTGACTCTCTCTCTCTCCTTTTTCTGTCACCAATAGTCAAGTGTTTACCTCTCACCCTGCCAAACTTTCCAACAGACCCGTTCTCCCTTTACGGAAATTAAGACAACTCTGAGGGTCATGGTCAAGTCTTGTTGACCTGGCTATGTTTTTATGAGGGCCTCATACTTCTGCTCTCATCCATTATTTCTGAGTTAATAGAGGTCTGGGAGAAAGGCAAATATTTTACTGCCTCCCCTGCAATTCTGAAATGGAAGCACATTTTCCATAGAAAAGCTCCTGATTCACTTTCTGCATTATAGGAACCACATATTTGATTCTGTTGATCTTGCTAACAGATAAATAGCATTACTTCCATTTCATTCAGTGATATGGTCTTTTTCCTAAAGCATATTAAATATATGTCTAGGCATCATTCATATCTTTCTTTCTCTGCTTTGCCTATTTGAACATTTTCCTAATTCACCTTAGCTAACAGTTCCTCCAAAAACACCACATAGGGTCACCCTAGGCCGGAACTCTGGCCAGGTGTCTGAGAGTAGAATCATATTTATGAGGGGAGAAAAGTTATGGATTTTGTGATGGCACTGAGGAACTGGGTTCAGCCTAACATTTTAGAGCAATTGTAGAGCAAAGTTGAAAATTGTTGCATAACAGACTATTATACTCTCAGACTTTTTGTTTTCAACCAACGTAGAAACATATTGTCATTTTACTATATTACAGATCAATTCATGATTATGCACCTATTTTACCAACATGTGCTAGACTATATAGAGTATAGATCAAGATAGACAATCTTCAGAATCAGACTGGTACTCTTTCTGTTGTTTATTTTTATTTTTGCATGTATTTATTTTTATTATTTAATTGACAAATAATAATTGCATATACTTAAAGAGTACAATGTGATATATATTTTGCACTGTACAATGATTAAATTAGGCCAATTAACATATCCATTACTTCACATACTTATTTCTTGGTGATGAGAACATTTACAATCTACTGTTTGAGCAACTTTGAATTGTGTAATATAACTAAATATAGTCACCATGCTATGCAGTAGATCACTAGAACTTATTCCTCCTGTCTGAATGGAAATTTTTACCTTTTTACCAACCTCTCCCTTTTCCTTTTCCGACCCCTCCCTTCCCCTCTCTGCTTCTAAGAGTTTGATATTTTTAGATTTCACCTGTAGTGATATTGCGCAGTGTTTATCTTTCTGTAGGCAGCTACTCTTGCTTATTTCCTCTACCTATACTTTTGAAACATTATTGGAGACAAAGTCAAGTACTTTTAAAGGTTCATTTTTTCACAAATCAAATTAACCTGCTATATGTAGAGCCAGTTTGGAAGGGCAAGGAAATATTTTGTTGCTTTTTAAGAGTGACCATATAAACTCACAAGTATTGAAAATATCAAAGTTAATATTACATATATGCATACAGTGTATCATTTTAAGGCAAAATATATGGCTAGGTCCACAAGCTCTATATAAGGACCTGATGGGCCAAATGTGTTTTGAAATTCACATTTTTTGAACTTTAAGGAGGTAATAGAGTACATATTAGGTATTATGTGACACCTAAGCAGAGTCCAGGTCAGCATCTTATAATCAAACATTAATGCCTCCATTGCAAAATAGATGATTATTTATACCAAGTAGATAGATACATAATGACTATAAATAGCCTCATGCCAGTTTAAGTCACATTTTGCTGGCAAATGAGTTCAAGTAAGGTCAGGTTAGCTGCCAAATGAGTTATGGAAAAACTCTATCTCACAGCTTTCTGGACTGGGGAATTCGGAACGTGAAATTGCAGGGTTGAGTTGTGGAAGCTTCCCTTGCAGAATGTCATCTTCTGATTAGGGACGACAGTGAAACGTATTTACACTTACCAAATAATAGTAATTACATACGTGATATTATTCAAAATGGAGACTGCATTTAAAAGGAAGACTTACACTTTGTTTAAACAGAGGAGATTTTGGAAAAACTAAGGCTTGTATCCTATTCACAGAAATTAATCGCCACAGGCATAATAGCATTTGGTGGGCAAGTTTTTGCTCATCCTCAACAGTTCAGTATATTATACAGGCAATCTGTGTTTGCCAGACCCAACCAACTGACTAAGCAAATTCCCTTGATTAACACAGAGCTGATTTCATGGACTCTTGGAATGGAAGAACCCTTTAAAACCCACTGAGTAGCCTATCCAGCTCTTCAGCGAGGACTCTTCCTGTTTTTGAACCACCGACTCTTTCAAGATTAAAAAAGGAAAAAAGATTATGATCTTCACTTCAGAATGGTGCACATGTGAGAAGTATCACAGTCGTTTTCAAGGGATCTACTCAGAACTCCTGCCTCATGTGTTTGCCATATTTGCAAAAAAAGAGAATGTTTTAAAATTTCAATCTTTGTTTTTTTTTTTTTGGTACCAGAGATCGAACTCAGGACCTTGCAGTTGCAAGGCAGGCACGGTGCTACTGAGCTAAATCCCTGGCCCACACAGCCATTTTAATACTACAGAGATTGGCTTTATTTTAAGCTGCCTCATAAATTGACTGGTCATGTGCCTCAGTGGCTTCTGTGACATTTATCACCACTTAGTGAATTTTAATGCAGTAATTATAAGATAAATATTTTTGAACTCATTGTGACCCTTTGTCTTAATGTTAAAGTTGGAAAGAAGACTTTATTAGTTTTTCTTTTTATATTTTTATTTCCCATATCATCCAAAACTCAGAGAGGGAAAAAAAGGAAAAGAAATTCTCTAAGGAAAAGGCATAAAATTTCCCACTCATAAATGTATCTAGCATCAATTTTCAATTTGACATTAACTGGGAAAGGAAATTATGAAGTAAATTTTCTAAGTGTTGAGCTGTCACTAGAAAAAAGATTTATATTTGTCTCTGGCATCAAATTATGATTTGAATTTCATAGTATTAGGCACACGATTATTTTTCTTTGACATTTTGAGGTGTCTGATA